GAGGCTCCTATGCTTTTTAATTATCATTCAAAACTAAGACCAGGCATTACTTTGAAATACCATCTTAATTGGTCTAGACTGTTTATATTGTAATGGATACACCGCTGCAAAAAACAGGGGCGTTAGCAACCGGGGCTGAGGAAGGTCTTTTTTAGCTCGGCTGGCAAGACCCGTGATAAGCGACGCCGGAGACCCAGGTTCGCACCCATGCGAGGGACGAACTAGGAAGGGAGCGGCGAGGGCACAAGCCCGAGAACCCGAATCCGTTACAACATTCTCCTATTTAACTCTTCGGTTATGTTTATCATTATATGTGTCAGGGAGTTGTCTGTTGGTAACAAACCAGAAGCCGAAGAGATCAGATGAATCTTACTTATCTAGAAAAGGTAGCCAAATCGCTAGGCAAGGAGTAGTCCGGGTGTGACCGGCTCCCGCGAAGCATAGTTCAGGACCCTATGCAGACGGTATAATCCAGGAGTAAGTGGAGAAGGACATCCAGGGAAGGTACAGCAGGATCAAGACAGGTAGACAGACAGGGGGCGTGACGATGGTGATCTGCTGCTCGGTGGGCGTGGCAAGGCCAAACAGGTCCAGACAGTACAAAAGGGGGAATCCGGGGCACAGTCCAAAATCCAAAATCCGGGGATCCAACCAAGATGAAACAAACACAGTTAAAATCCGGAACGGGATCCGGAACAGGGACAGGAATTAAAACCGAGATAACGAGGCCAGGCGCTCTGAGCCCAGGTCTCAGACGGTCAGGACGCCGTGGCGAAGCCTATGCTGTCGGGTCTCTCCTGGACTCGCTGGTAGGCAGGCTTCCGGGTGTCCATCTTCCAATGCTGAGCCAGGCATAGCGGGAGCACCCGGCTTAAATAAAGAGGGACAAACAGGGGACAGGTGCAGGTAATGAACTTAAATACGAAAGGGTCGGAGCGCCCTTAAGAGGAGGGAGGAGGATCGTGACACCGGGGTTCGTAAGCAAACGTTAAAATCGAAGAAAATAGCACGACAATGGTACGTAGGGTAAGCTCTTCTCGAGAAGTTCTCAATAGCGAGCGAGGGGAAGACGTGAGGAGGGGCGTTTCATTAGGGCGTGAGTGCTTTCTGCGCGTGGGAATGCAATGGTGCTTGTGAGACAGAGTGCGATTCGTGACCATATGTAAAATGCTGTGCTTTCTCATATTTCACTACTAAAAGGTAACCCCACTCTCCGTCGTAATTGAATGTTAAGCCTATTCACTATAACCTTGTACTACTTTATACTACAGTATCCAACAATATAGCCTATAGAACTTTGGAGTTATTGGGAAACATAGCGTAATCTTTGATAACTTATACAGTATACTTCACTTCAGTGGTATTTTTGCTGTTTTGTACGCTTAAAATATTTAACTTATTTTTTTAAATATTTGCAGCATCATATTAAACTTTGTGATTTGATCATTTAAGTTTGGTAAGGTGTAGTCAATCCAAACCTGTAGCATATAGCATATCTGTTATAGTAGGTCAGTGACACACTAGCATCTTTTTTGATGATTTTTTTCCTGATTTGCTGTTTCTCAAAACTATTTTCATTTTCTGGTCACACACCTTTGTAGTAGACTACTTTTTCTGCCAAAGTTACCTTCACATAACTACAGGGCATGCGTTATTCATGCAAGCAGTTCTAATACAGTACCTTGAATCAGGCAAGTTTGAACAGAGTGAGGTCGAGTGTAATATGCCCAGAATGCATCAGATAATGATGTGAAGCTACGTCAGTGATAACTGAATGATGCTGTTGGATTTTCTGCTCAGTTTTTTTTTTTATTATTCCTTCTCCATTGAGCCAAAAACAAGAGGTTTTAATGATACCATTGAAATTTCATGTGCTGGCTGAAGTCAGGGAGATACAATATGTTATTTGAAAGAGACCTCTAGGAGTTCTTTATGAAATTCAGCTTGGCACACTCTCTTCTCAGTGTTTCCCAGTAACAGAGAGAGAGTAAAATGCATGCAAAGCTTTCTCAGTAATGGCATAAACCACACAGGCCAATCCAAAAATGTAGCAAGAATCATGCAGGTTTCTTTGCTTTTTAAAACCACTATTAAGAAGGTAATTAACATTGAATATTGCTGAATGATGTTTGCCGTGGTATTATAGAATTTTATAACTAGATATTTGACTATTTTCAACTTTTAATGCATTATAAGAGCAATGTTTAATCAGTTAAACTTGTTTTCTAAAACACAGATTATTTAGTCTAACTTTTACTAGAAAATAAAGACTGATTAAGTTCACAGAGGTGAATTTTAAAGGATACTTACCCATTTACATGATCTAATTAATACTTGGTATATATCCTATCCTAACATTGTGGTTGTCATTTATTACAGTATATAGATGTGAATATGTGTTGTAAAATAGGCACTTACATTCCAAGCCAAGTAAATGTACACTGTAGTTGTGCTTACAGCAAATGCTATTACATTCAATCCCTTTGCAAGGTCAGGCTGAAGACCGAACACTCAGCAGAGTTTGAAGAAGCAACTCATGAAAAAGACTTGGGTGTTTATGTTGATAGATCAAATTCCTCAATTAGACCAAGTGAGGAAGCAGTATAGCAGAAGAACAGAATGTTAAGATATAATTAAAAGTGCAGAATTCAGGAAATAGTTTGATGGATACAGGAGACTTACAGGTCAAAATTGGTTATACTGGCACATCTGCCCGGTGCTTTACAGATTGAAAGGAAGTACAGTACATTGCAGTGGCCCATGTCAAAGAATTGTGCCTGTGAATGTCACACCAAGTAGATAGGACACACCAGCTATGCACCACTTACATAGGGTTAGAGTATATACCTGAATTATATCATGTGACTTAAACCACACGTTGCTTTCAAACTTTCTTGTAAGACATCTGCCTGGGAAAGACAAAGTGATGTCACAGCTACAACCTACAGTGAAAAACTGTCATCTCAATTGACATCTTGGAATTGAAATTATATTCCTGACGTGTCTTGGGGTATCACGTTCTGGTTTCAGATCATTGTCAATACTGAGCAACACTTTCAGCTTAAATTCAATTGCACGTGTGCTCTTATTGCAAACATGTGATGCCTTGGTTTTTAATTTTGTGATTATCGGCATTAGGTATTCATTTTGTTTCTGTCCTGCAGTTGGTATACAAGTCGCATTTTTCTGTAAATTAGTATCCAGTTTTTGGAAGCATTCTCCACAATTCTCTGGATTATCAATCGTTACACATTCATTGTACAACACGTTGCTCACAGCCGCTCAAAAGAAACTTTAATGTGATATCATAAGCTTTTGTATCCTTCTTTGTTTCCAATAAAGACGACTTGAAACTACAATCAACATTCCTTTGAGAGCAGATATTTTTTTAAGATTACGATTAAGGATGTTTCAGAAACACGCCCTGTGGCGCATGGCTTAATGTTAGCAAAAAGTAAAAACAGAACTCGACATTTTCCTAAAAAGTAGACAGTCCGGGAAATTGTTGAGCAATGCACATTGTGACACCGCTGTGCCACCAAACAGCATGGCATCAGACCTGCACTCTTTTAAAAAGTGTTTTGTGCTCTTCCTTAAGTCAGCTAGTAAATAATACCAAAATTCATGCGAACACTCGTGATAGAAAATGACAACAAAGCAATGCACGTAAACTGGTTTCACTGTAAATCATTTTGCATTTGGAGCCTTTTTCTTTTAGTGTGCGTTACGTGGTATCGGCACAGCAACGCCAAGAGAGAGAGAGAGATCATTCAAGAGCCGTCTACTCCGAAAGCGTTGCTTCTAATCTTCCTTTGCGGCTCGGGTGTTTATTACCGAAATTCTTGATACTGGTCTTCCAGCGTAAAACAGCGAGTTAAACAGGCAACACTTTGTTAGGGTTCCCACGTCATTAACTAAGCTTTGCAAGTAACACGGACGCTTGCAAATTGAGTTTTGCTTCATAACTGGGACGCAAGCACAGGGAAGGCCGCTAACATGACAGACTTCCTCCTGTTTACAGTACGTAACAGCGAAATGAACTACAGTAACTGTAAATCGATTAAGCAGCCACTCGCTTTGCATTTGAGAAGCGCAGAAAACCGCAGCGACTTCGAGTCTGACTGCGCTATGACATCACTGCCTGAGGGCTTTAGGTAACATCACTATGGAGAAATCCCTGCATCACAGACTGAGCCAGTTTCGTCTCTCTCCTTTACACCCCCACATCAAGTCAGAAAACTTGCAGATGAAGTTTATTTCCAAGACGACGTGAGCCAATAGGAGGAGGGAAAATCCTGCTGGGACTGACATACTCGCGGGCCAGAAAAAAAAAAAGTAAAAATGTTTTGTTGAAGATTGCGAGATAAGATGGTGTGTGGGAGAAGCTTTATATTAGCAAACGCGTGGATACAAATGTTGCTTAAATTGCCGACCTGCCGAGACTGATCGAACTCGAGAAACTTGGCTTTGGAATTGGGGATGGTGTACAATACGTCCATTAAGCGTACCCGGTTGTGCATTGCTGGGATGGCTCTGTTTGCGTCTCTGGCGATTGCCACTTGCCTGGTTGGACTCTACGTACCAAAGGTAAGCGATCCCGTTATTCTGCTTGTGTTTTTTTTTTTTAATGGTAACTGTAGACAACATTAACTCCTTGCAACGTGCTGGCCAAACGATTTTTATTTTAGTTACAACGTCAAGGTGATTGTATTTGTTGTCGCTTTTGGGCGCTGGGTTTTTTTTTTTTTGGAGGTGCCCAATGTCATAGCGTTTTAACACGCGGCCGATATCTTTTATTACAGTTGCACACACCAGCTTAATTAAGCTTTGCTTAAGCCCGCGTAAGCTTTGGTGTGAGCCGCCAGGAATTGCATTGTCAGATGAGCGGTTGCCTCATCTCCGACAGGAAAGTAGAAACATGCTCAGACAAGTTTGCACTTAGCTGTGCGCTGATGGAAATGTAATGCACCATTAAATGAATCCATGCATTCATTTTTAGCTTCTGTTCGTGCTATAATAGGCTATGTCGTGAATACAGGAAAGGTCACCATGGCACAGTATATGTAATTAACTGAAGCTAATCGGTGCAGGCTACCCGTCACAATTTTCTACCGTACAAGTGCAGTGTTTTAGCAAAGCAAACTGTCATGATTACCATTGTGAACTTGCTTAGTGACACGTTTTCGTCTGTGATGCTACTTTTCTTTCACCTACTTGATAACGCGTTTTGATGCATCTCCTGTATTTCATGTATGTTCTTTTTTTTTACATACTGTGTTTGCTTTAAGGCTTTTAATGGCATGAATCATTTGGGGTCTGCTCTTACAGCCCTAAAAGTAGCTGCATCCGAAAAAATAGTGCTGTTTCTTCCTGAACGCTATACCCTACGCTGTAGCTCCAAATCGAAGGCGCATTTCCAAGACAGCGAAATGCCACAAAAGCGATTTACGAAGACACACAAAATGTAGTACGTGCCCAGGAAGCTGTAGATTTGTTCCTTTTTTAGCGGAAAATGTTTTGCTTTAGTGCTTGCAGTTCGAAGCTCACGTACTGTAAAACAGAGACAACACATGGCGCATTATATGCAGGGAATACAATTCTGGAAAGAAAATCTCCCAGTATCCTATTATCTGAGGTGGGTTTATTGAAGATGATGTGTAACCATTAAAAAAAAAAAAATTCTGAGGGGGAGTTCAATTAATGGCACCGTGTAATCTTCACCGCCAAGTGTGGATCTGTCCGGCTACACGCGTGTGTGTGTGTGTGAGGTCGAGATACTGTCAGCTCCTCATTTTGTCATATCGGGAACGTCCTGCGTGATCCGTACAGCAGTTGCGTGAGAGATGCTGAACAGAGAAGAGGACACAGAACTGTACACAGTTATTAATTTTGATCATGATCTAACCCCCCGTTAAGGTAGGCAAATTAACTGCAATGTTACAGAAGGAAGTTTAATATTTTAACTAGGAAACTACCGTAGATGCTTTTCGTACTGGAAATCGTTGCTCGTTGTAGACTGGAGCTACGAAACTGCTCCATTTGTCCGGAAAACAATATTAACCGCTATTACCAGCTTTTTGTGTCGGTATGCATTTGCTCAAGCAGTAAATTACGAAATACGTCTAAGTGGGTTAACTGGCTTTTGTGATACCTGTTGGCTTAATTCACGGTTTGTCCGCGTCCAGTGGGTGAAGGGTTATCGAGATAACGAAGGCACTGCACGCTATAGTAATTTTACCAATGATTCGAATAATTTTGAAACTCGTGACACATCCTCTGAAACTACTAATTTAGCTGGGGAGGGGGGTGTTTGTCGCTATTCATAAATCTGTCGCCACCCCCTCAGGTTTACTCAGAAAGCAGGCTGTAAAACCATGTGAGAAACACAAGGCCAGTTTTTGCAGTTTCTGAAATAGTTTGGGGTTTTAGTGTACAGGATATAGGATCACACCGTCAAGTGGGATGTTTTTGTCTTCTTCAGGTGCACGTAACCCTGAGAGACCACAGGGTGCAACGCGCGTCCCTCCGCTATAGAGCAAACAGCGCCACCTAGTGGGGAAAATAAACTTTTGACCTTACATAAAAAGTAGCGTTGTTTGGATTGGGCAGTATTACTCATGTTCGTTTTGTGAGTCTAAGTGCATTGTCTCATTTTCATTGTTGTTGGCTGGATTGTTCTCTCGGTGTGTACTTTTTGCAGCAATGCCAAATTTGCACAGGAAAGTATGCGAACCTATTTCCCCCCTCATCTGAATTAATTTATCGACGTCAGGATATGTATGTCTCCTTTGTGTACTCTTTGTGATTTCTAACTATCAAAATGCTTTGTATTTTGATGTTGCTTGTGTGCTTTAACTCCTTATGGCTGTAATTCATGTCTGCGTGTAAAAAAAAGTTGATATCTGATACAGTATACAGTAGTCTCTCTGCACCTATGTGTATTCTGTTGTTGTAAGGTTGTTAATTATTTTATACAAGCTATGCCTGTACCATTTTAAGATTTAAGAAGTTCTAGTTGTGTACATTTTGCAAGGTTAATGCATGAAATACATTCATAAAACAATAAGTAAACTGCAAACACTGACTCAAGAGTTTGGTGAAATTAGAACATCTTATTTGCAAAGGTCATGGTATTCAGAGGCTTCCCATGGTGTCTCATTTTGTGAAATGACAAAATGCTAAATTCTGTTGCACTGAATATTTTACTTAAAACCAGAATACCTAAACCAAAGACCTCTAAAGGTAAGATAAGCTACAATTAATAACGGTGAAAACAAAAGAGGGGAAAAAAAAGAAATATGTTGATTGTATAAGTATGAAGACCCATGAGCTTGATATCTGGTGGAAGTTGGCAGCAAATACAGCCACAGGTCTTTTGGGGGTAAGCTTTTTCTGCACCAGTTTGGTGCAATTTTTGCCCATTCATCTGGGCAGATTTGCTGCAGCTCTCTCAACTTGCTTGGGGCTCCATTTTGAACAGAAGTTTGCAAGCCAGCAAATTCCACATAGGACTTCGTCTGGGACACTCAAGACCATTCACTTTCGTATCCTTGAGCCACTTCAGTGGAGCTGTGATCTTTTGGATTAGTGTCCGTCTGAAAGTGAATTTGTGTCCCAGTTTGAAGCTAGGTTTCCTCTAGGCTTTGCCAGTACTTTGCTGCCTCTGTGTTCCCATCAGTGTCGACAGTCTTTCCAGGCCCTGCTGATGAGGAGCAGAACTGTAACATCATGCTGGAAAGAAGTGGTGTGCATCGATTGAAGCACTATGCTGGGTTTGTGTGAGGTATTATCGATTTTCATTGATAGACCAGGAGGTATCAATTTAGTCAATTTAGTCCCTGATAGGTTTAGCCACTTGTGGGCAGTATCATTTAGGTGCTTTGTTGCCAACCCCCTTTAGGATTTGGAGTGGGCTTTTTCAGGCATAGAGTAGCCCCTTTTGTGTAGTAGCAGGGATATTGTCAGCTCATGGACATGTTGTCCTTTCTTAGCCACAGGACTCTCTAACTCAGATTCGCTGTTGGCCTCCTGGTGCTGTCCATAACCAGTTTTCTCTTGGTTCAGAGGCACAGCCTAATCGAGGCAGTATCTGATGCTCTTCCCCTGCTCAGTGATGGACCTCACTATGCTCAAAGAGAGATTCAGGAACTGCAAACTGCTCCTCCATGGTCGAACCATTTGCTTAAATTCCCACCTGACCAAGGAGAGACACCGAGATGGGAGTTTTTGTTCTGGTAGCATCTGAACCACTAGTGTCACACATAGAGGCCTCTCAAATAATTGTGTGGCAAGTGTATTTAAATGCATTTAGGTTTGGCATAGCCACAAAATAGAACAGGGTTTGAATGCAATCAATAATCAATCAATCAAGTTTTCAATTAGAAATAATCATCTATTTACTTCTGTCTTTTCGTTTGTAGTTTAGAGATGTGGCACAAGTCTATAGCAAATATTCACTGCTACTTCAAAGTTTCATATCTGCCTGCTTTAAACCAACAAAATGTGAATATTATTCAAGGGTTTGAATACATTTGGAAGGCACTGTATGTAAGGTGAAATAACAATTATTATTGTTTTTATTTATTCACAGCAAAACATTGTAAGCCTTGAATGTACATTTTTTTTTAGTGGCACATCATTCAGATCTAGGTTTTTAGAAATGGTTCTGCAGTCTAATGTTATTTCAAAGGACTCTGCGGTTGAGAATCAGAATTGTGCTGGTGGGACTTCGAAAGTTCAAAGGGGCATATTAAAACACAGAGATTATTCTGTTATCTTAAGTATGTGTAAAGTGTATTTTGGCAGTGAAGAATCTGTTTTTCTTGCACATAGCACAAGAAAAACAAGCTGGCAAGCAAATGTTCCCCTCCTTCTTATAACCTAAGCTAGAGTGTCTTTCTGAAAACATAGACAATTTAGGAGCTACGGAGCTTTGGAGACTAGTCTCAACTATGTATCGTAAGAACACTTGACAGATTTATTTTCCTGGTCGGTCCTTAGCCAAGAAATGTAACATGAACTCTTCCAGACGATCTGGTCTCCTAGAATACCATAGTGGCCTTGCACCGAAGCTCTTTGGATTGAAATGACCTGTCACCCCGTAGACAGGCCAGTGTAGTGATTAGACAAACTGTCATCGTCACAAAGACTGCTCTGTAAAGGTGCTGACTGAATTCTGAATGCCGTGTGACTACACACACTCACTGTTCAATAACAGCGCAGTTCAGTAATAGTACCACTGAAACCTGAAATGTATACAGTACATGTATCTTCCAGCATAGTTCAATCAAGTTTCATTTATGCTTGGTATAAATTTCATTTATGCTTCGTACATTTCCTAGGGCACAGGAATAACAGGAACATTTTTTAATCTGATTTTCGAGAGTGAAAGGTCTCTTAATAGAATACTCTTATCCTGTTACAATGGGGTGGGATTGAGTTTTGTTATGTTTTGTTTTCTGATGAAATTGTAATTTATTTTGATAGCCAATCACGGTTAGTGAAAGGGAAAGTTCACTTGAGTACAATTATCCCAAGAATGAGGGAGTCAAAAGGTACAAATCTCTTTACTAGTTATACAAAATGGT